CATTTCCCTCAACACACTGACCAAATTCTCCCCCCATTTTGATGGATTCCCGTTCGTTATGGCCCTTATTTCCTCCATCACACATATTTTTGGCCACCTTGAATCCTCCATTTATGATAATATACTATTATTATATTATATTAACAATAAGTAAAAACTTAGAATCAAAAAAGAACAGTAAAAATTTCGCATATAAACTAACAAATAATTTTTTAACATTTAAAACTACTAAAATTAAAAAAATACTTACATGTGTAAGTTTAAAAAAGAAGATATACCTATATATACTATCTGTATATTTAGATGATATCATATTTTTATTTATAACATTTAAGCGTTAAAATATTTTTTTGTAATACAATACGATACATTTTTTTATTTCATTTTACTTTTTTTGCCAGTTTCTTTTAGCGTACGAACATGCTGTTATTCTTTGAAGAGTTTTTATTGTTTTAAATAATTTTCTGCATCATTAGCGAATAATCTACGCGAACGTGTTAAATAGCATCCTTCATGTTTAACGTTCGACACACGGAATTTTCTACAGTACAGAGCAAAAGTATCGGGGAGATACTGAATAAATTATCGAATTACATTTTCTGTAAATTTATAGAAAGCATGATTTTTTCTTTAATTTTTAGTACAATATATATTTCTCAAATCTAAAATTCAAGTATTTTGTGTAAGCCATGGAGATTAAATTTAATTTTTTACATTTAAATTTTTAACATCCATGCGTTATTCATTATTTTTTTTTATTGTGCAACTCTTATCAGATCTCTATGTTTTATTCTATGAATTATTTATTTAGAAAATGGTGCAAGATCATTTTTCTTTTTATAGACAAATCAGATCAGATTAAAACCGTAAACACGATTAACTAATTCATTTTCAAATCTGGAATAATACGATTTTAACAAATAATTCAACTCTTATATTATGATTTTAGATTTTTTAGAGAAGTATTTAAAAAAAATAGTATAGATTTACAGAATACATTGCAGATAATAATTATTCTGACCCGACAGTACTTTTGTTCTATACTGTACATGTGATGTCAAGAGAATGTTCTTGATTTTGAAGCTATCACGTATTATTAATACTTTATTAAATAAAATCATAATGTATGATGTTAAGGCGAATCAGTGTTTATTGTTTACAGATTTTAAACTTCCTGTTTCGTTAGTACGTCATATTTACACGATCTTTCGAGATTACAGCATAGCTATATTATAACATAAAATGGAGAAGAAGTATCTCGTTAAAAGTCTTAGGATTAAAAACTCGACGAGCAGTTCGATCATTTTTTATCGTTCGATCATTTTTTATTGTTCGAGTTTTTGTTCAGTGTATTTAACATTTTGAAGATTATTCTTTTGTAATATTCGAATAAATTAATACTCTTAATACTCTTTACTATATCGTAATTTTATATAATTTTATATTGCAATTAATATTAATCACAAATTTGTAAGAGAGAGCATTCATGTTTTATATCGATTGTAATTAAATTTCTCACACTAATTACATTTTAACGATTGATTAAACAAAATTTATTTAACGAATTGCGTATATTCATTGATTTAGAATTAATTATGCGTTATCGTTTTCCAGTGTAATTTGAACTCATTGGCTTTGTAATCACGAAACCATGAAATTCATTAGCATTTTTTTCGTAACATTCTCTATCTCTGGATTCGCCATTGGATCTGTGGAGGAACCTTATCCAGATTTATATGATCATGTAGACGTGGATGCGATTTTTAGTAGTGAACGATTATTTAATCAATACTTGCAATGTTTGCTTGATGAGGGTCCTTGTACTGCCGATGGACGCAGTTTTAGACGTGAGTAATATTTTTTGTAATAATTAAATACCGGAGATAAATGTTTCAAAAAAAAAGTAAAAGACACAAAGTCTTTGACAATTGTTTTAATTTTTCTTTGTGAGTAACATTTCGTTAATAATTTAAATAATAATAATTAAATAATTGTTGAATAAATTTGACGAAAAAATTGCACAAAATCTTTGTGAATTTTTTAAATTTATTCTGAGAGTAACATTTCGTGAATAATAATAACAATAACAATAATAATACTAATAATAGTAATGAAATAGTAGGATAGATAAAAGTGTAGATTTTCTTACACGGAAGATTTTTAAGAAAGTTTTGTGAGAACAAATATTTCTTTAAGAAAACAGGTTTTCTAGATTGTAGGCAACCACAGGAATAAATTGTCCGTTTTGCGTACGTGACTTTTTAAACCTCATTCTTACTATCGTTGTATTCGATATCTTTCAAGATTTTTGATGTAGTTTTTACAATTTTTTACTTTAATTTCTTTAATTTCTCATTTTCTCATTCGTATAATCTTTCGATTTTATTTACAAAGGATCATAATAAAAACAATTAAATTGACATTTAATCAAATAATCGTTTGTTTGTTTTTCTTTTGAATCATAGAAATGCTTCCCGAAATTTTGGATACACAATGCGCAAGGTGTAACGAGTTCCATAAGAAATTAGCGAGAAAGATTTTCGAGATAAAAGAAAAGAAACCTGATGTGTGGGTTAAGATTCAACAAAAATATGATCCTGATAATGTATACTTTTCTAAGTTGCAAGAATTTATTAAGGAATATTAAATATTTTATTATCTTTATCATTGTTCAAAATTCGTATACATGAAATATAAGAATATAAAATGTTTATTTCTATTTTTATTTTATAACCTAGTGTAGTCGCATAGTTAGGTGTATTCGTATGTAACTAAAAAAAAAAAAAAAGAAAAAACGATATGTAACATATAATGTTGAATAACTAACAAATAAATTTCAAAATTTATTAATTTTTTTTATTTTCAGTTTTATTTAAAACAAGGAACCTTAAAAAATAATTTATAGATATGCACATACGTTGTATTAGCTTCTTCTTCAATGCCTTCCCTCTCCCTCGGGTTTTAATTTAAAACATAATCAATACTTGATTCATTTTGGTTATCAGAAGATCTTAGCTACGATTCTTTTTATTTTGATATTTGTCAATGGCTTTAGACAACATAGACTTCCAAGTTTCCTTATCGTTTTCCTCGAACCAATTAATCATCTTGTCTAAAATAATTACTTGTTTTTCCGTACACTTGGCGCATTTGGTCACCAAAGCTTCCGGTAATATGTCTGTAAACAAACAAAAGGTGTTATAATTTAGATATTTTATCAAATATAAATTAAATATGTGTATTAAATCAAAAACGATTTTAACACGTTAAACGGGGAGCTAGTATCGGTGAAGTTTTTTGTTTGGGTAGAATGTCAATATAATAAATAAGGAAAAATAAATATAAAAAAATAAAATAAAGGTACAAATCAAATATTAATTTTTAGAATTTTGTATCATTGGTTCCCAGAACCAATCTTATGGTTAGTGGAAAACAGAAAATTTAAGGTTTGTCTTCAGAGATCGATGTAGCGTTTAATATGTTAAAAATTAACTCTTCGAACTCGATTTATTTACAGTGTTTTTATTTATCAACTTGCATTTATTTTTAAGTAAATGAATTTAAGTAATCTGACTAGCAAGTTTTATATTAGACTAGTATTGTCAACTCCAATGTGACATGCGAGTTTAAGAATAAATTAGAATTGTCATCTGCAAGGTGACATGTGTACGAGAGTTCAAAGGATTAAATTGTAATTGTTAAAAATTTGACGTCGTTGATCCCTAGGATCAATCTGACTTAAACGAGTGGTTTAACGTCTGTTCTCAGTAACCAAAGTATTCCATTTTAGTTTCCAGAGATCGAGCTAGTGCCTAACGTGTTAAAATTGAAGTAAATTTTTAAAATAGATTTTATTTTGGATTTTTAAATGTCAAGATGATGGGTTTACCTCTCAGGAATTTTGCATCCGCTGTTAAACACGGTCCATTCTCCAAGTAACAATTAATATATTGATTACGTAACCGAGGTGTCTTTAAAATCATGTCGACATCGACGTTGTCATATTTTGATATATATTTCGTATTGTCCGTTAACACTGAACTAATTATCGTGGATAGGATCATCACGAGTAAAAGAACCACATAACGCGTCATTGTGATTTTTTGAATTTTTCAGATTCGTAAATAGATGTTCGTTTAAAACAAAAGAATGTTAAGAAAATATATAATAAAGAAATAAATAAATAATTTTCACGTTTTGATGTGCGTATTTTGTTTTTTTACAATCGTTTCTTATTGTTACACCCAACAAGGGGATCTCTGTTTTAGTTCTGAATGCTTTGGGATGCTGTATTCCGTATTTATAGCTGTTGTGAGAACACATCCATACACATTCACTTCTTTACTGTTTATGGCTACAAGATCATCTGGTTATTCGATGATTATTTCTGAAGGACATAGATGAAGAAACCGGAGACTAAAAAAACGTGTATAAAAAGTCAGAAGGAAGGAGTGATTATCATTATATTGTTTGTCAAGTAAATCGTCATTCCACTTAATTTTATTTTAAATTTGCATATCATATTTTTATTTCTATTTATTTCTATTTATTTTCATCTTACTTAGAAAATAATATTTGAATATCTGTAGATTAAGCTTTTTTTTTTCATTATTACGATAGGATATTTATTTTTCTTACATAGAATTATTTATTTATTTTTATTATTATTTTCTTTTTAAATATTTAAATCATGTTTTTGAGAAATATAAACATTGCGTATTTGTTAAGGAGCTGAAGGAATTATTTGTTTACAAACTTCTATGAATTAAATTTTAGTTTAAATTTATAACATTTATTTTCACTTGGACTTAGAGAAAAAAGATATATTTTATGTATAGGTAAGCATCCCAGTTATATTATATACTGTATTATTATATATTTATTTATTATATTTAAATCGTGAAAGAAAGAAGTCAACACTCATATCATTTATTTTCGAAGCTTATAAGTTTTGTTTCTTAGCATCTTCCATGAATTTTTTGATAAGAGCGGTCCATTCTTCAGGACGATTTTCGTTATACCAAATGGCCAACTTTTCAAAGTTTGATTTTTGGATTTCTGTACACTTCTTACATTTAGTTACGACTGCCTCCGGGAAATGTTCTGCAAAAAAAAATCATACTAATGTCATTAATGTCATATTACTACATATAATACACCGGTCAAAATTAATTGACCATTTTACAAAATGATAGAAAGTTCGCGTAATTTTTCCCTATTTAACCATTTGCGGTCGTATGTCTGCCTTCAGCCACCACAGCAAAAAGAACCATACTGATTTTATATTGTAAGATTCGTGAACAAAATTGGGCCGTAGAACCGGGACTCGAACCCGGATCTTCCACTTTCCGGGCGACTGCTCTTTATCCATTGAGTTATCCAGGGCCCAAGTCCAATCTCTTCACGAATGCCTATTTAAGAATTTGGCTTGGAAGCGCTCGTCCCACAATATTATATTAATTTTATCTTAATCTTCATTTAAAGATACATTTTATATATTATATAAGGTGTCAGTTAATAGAGAAAACAAGACGCCTATGTCACATTTTATGTTTGTTCGGAAATTGATGGAACAACTTGTAGGTAATTTTTCTGATGGTGCATCTTCAAAATCAGGAAGATCATCGTCCTCAGATAAAGAGGAAAGGTTTAATGGCAAACTACATATATTGTGGCACTGTAAAAATGTAAAGAATAAAGATTGTTCTCAAACAGAAAAGAGACTGCTTTGAAAGATACCACACGATGGAGAACTATAAAATATAATTTTTACCAAAAACATTACATATTAAAACATATTATTATTTAAACATATATCTAATGTTTAAAAAAGAATTAATAAATTTTGATTTTCTTTCATGATCTTGTATATTATGTATGACTGTTCGTTCAACGAAAATTAATTACGACCAAAATGACATTTATGTATAAATTTAATACGACCGCAAAGGGTTAATTTTTCTTAGTACTTGTATAGAAAATCAGTCGTTTGTTTAAAAAAAATTCATAATTATATTAAATCTGAATACATCGTTCATTGAAAAATATTTCGTATCTTAAATACATTTACTAAATATTTCTTCAAATATAGAAAAGTATTTCCAGAGTAAGTATTGCAAAAGTATCCAAGACGTAACCGTTTTCTCTAGGCTATTAAAAATTTAGATTGTAATATTTAAAAACAAATGAAAAAGATTTATTTTTGTAATATTGTCAGAAACTCTTTTCTACAGATAATTTATTTGATTTATTTATTCCAAAGATTTTGAAAATATTTTCGATGTTAAAATCATTTTTGCAGGTACTGTATATAAATATGAGTATTATGTATATGAGGACGCAATTAAAATTTGCATAATGACTCAGTTATATGTATAATCTTTGATCGAGGAAAATAATTAATTCTATAAATAAATGCAATGTAAATTTTTTCCTTTCAATGCCGTTTAAAAACAATCGTTAATAGGTTACATACAAATTTGTTTTTGTGATATCAATTTCAATAATGAGATTATAAAATTTATAACTAGGCGGTTATAAATTTGTAAATAATATCATCCTCGTTAGTAGGTAAGTGTGAGAATTTGTTTGTAGAGAAGTGACTCGTACTCGTAAAAGGAAGAGTAAAAAGATAATGTATTAAAAAACAATATTAAGATTTTTCGGAGTTTAGAAAAATGTTAAAAATAAAAAAAGTAATTGTTAAGCCTTTTCAGAGATTTTTAATATTTAAATTGTAGTATTAGAAAAATGAGACTAAAGATCAAGCTAACCTTTGAAATATATCGCATCCGGGGTAACGCATGGACCGGTATTCATGAAGCAATTGTAGTATTGGTCCCTCAAACGATCGTTGTTAACGATTTCCATGGGGTCAATGTAATCGTATTTGTCAGAATAAAGTTCCTCGTCTGCTGTGACGAATGATAAAATCGCCAACAAAGAGACCAACGAAACGTATCGGAGTAATTTCATTTTTCCGACTTTCTTCAATAATAGATAATATCAAACTGCTTAAGATATTTCGTATACGTGCTTATATAGATCTCATTAATTGATAGGTGTCATCTTGTCACTTTTGCTTACGCGCAAAGTACTATGTAACTACAAATTTTCCTTTAATAATATGTCTATTTTTTTGCAGGTTTGGTACTTCTTTTGTTAAAAAATTTGCAAAAAATTGATGGAACATTTAATACGACGTTTACAATGTTATAAATGATAAATGACAAATATTTGTTCATTTGCATTTTATTTGCATGAGATATTATTTTTAAACGCTTTTCCTCACGATTCAAGTAATTAATAATTCATATTTCGTTTATAGGTGATACGAAATTGTTATAAGTAATGTTTCGTAGTAGGGCTTTTTAAAAATATTCAATAAGTGGTTCCCTTTACTCGAGCAAATATTTTCGCAATCCTGAGTATAGATTCTGTACTTTATTCTCTTTCACTATATAAACTATCAGAAATACTGTACTTGTGTAGTGTTGCCAAATTAGTTTGGAATTAATTTTCGGTCGTTATGCGTTCGAAACAAATTTTTCTTTTGCACAAATTTTCGTGGGAGGCCGTCATAGATATTAATAGACAATGAATGACAACGATTATCATTTTTTCTTTAAATTATACAAATTCAATAATATTAAAATAAATTAATAACAAATAAGAATATTTTTTTATATAAGTTCAATGTTTATGTGAATGTTTTATTTTGAATTTGTATGATTTATGAGTTAAATAATTGCATAAATTCATAAAGTTATAAATTAAAACCTATAAAAAACTGAACTCAACGTTTTCTTTTTGTATTATTTATAGTATTTTTTATTCGTATTATTTATAGCGATCTTAATTGAGTCATTTGTAAGCAAATAAGCTGTCTATATACTTTAATATGGAAATTATTTTTAAGTAAATTTAATGATAATATATTTATTTAAGTTATACACATTAAAAGTTTAAGGTAATAAATTATACTATTTGTTGCTTCGAATAGTTAAACAAAAATTAAACGTAATAGACGTTAAGAAAAAATATCATAATTGTTTAAATAATATTTCTCATATGTAATAAAATTAATAATTAGATTTCAACTTCAGTCTTACTTTTTTTCCTTTTTCTTCTATAATATATTTTTTTCCAATACGTCAGTTAAGAATGTTTTTTACCCGGATATTATTCAAGGAAATATCATATTATAGATGAAAGTCTCGTTACGCGTTTTTTATTTGCCAGTAATTTGATAAATTATACATCATCTAGTTACACGGATATCACACGGGTTACAAAAGAAATAACAAATAATTACATAGAAGATTGTAGAGTCAGTATTAGTAGCGTCTCTATTAAATGTTAAAAGAGGTTATCATTTAAATTCTTGTTTCTATCAATCTAATAAAAAGTTTGAATAAATATTCTTTTTTATTCGATACAATGACAAGGTTGTACGTCATCGTAAATCATCGATCGAAGGTTACCCCTTTATTATTTATTATTTACAACTAATTCTAGGAAGCTATGCGAAACACCGAGTGCGCGGAAATGAACGGGTTACTTAATTTCCTATCGTAGGAAAACATAAACGCGACTTTAACCTCGATAATCTTCTCGATGAGAAAATGATATAACTTGATAGATGGTTTCTTCGTGGAATTGGTTCGCCATTAAATCAGATCCCTAACATATTTTCGAAATAGTATAAATGTCTGAGATTAAGATAATGTTAACTTTCATTTAACATCTTCTAGAAGCTCGTAGTTTCTTCCTTGACATACAATGACAAGGCCAAGGAATTGGTGAAGTGTAGTTTGGTTTTAGATTTATTGCCCTTGTCGAGTGTGAGAAGTTCTATCAAATTTTTTCAAACGTTCGTGTTGTTTAACCGTGTGTGTGATAGATAAAGATAAGAATTTCATTTAATTATACCTTAGTTTTAAAACTCGCATAAAATTATAAAACGGATGAATTTATGGGTGAGTTAAATTATGCGGTAGTTACAAGGAATTCTAATTAAAATAATACAAATCATTCGTTCTTTATTATAGGTGTTATTTTGATTCGATCAATTTCACAATAAGAATAAAATTTGTAAAGTTCGTAATAATTTATTCGTGGATTATTAGAAAAAAGAATAAGGAAATGAGTTTTAGAGTTCTTATTATTAGCATAATTGCGTTCGCATGGACGACGGTTAAGGCGAATATTGCTGTCTCATTTGTGAAGGAATACTTTTTAGGAAAATATATTCAGTACTTGGTCGTTTTCGGATGTTGGAGCTCTTTCGGTTATTTGCAGTTTCTTTGTTTCTTTGTTTTTCATATAATTTTAGAAATTAATTTAAAGAAACAACTTGTCAACCACATATTTTCTTCTTATTTAGATAAGATGGATTTTTTTCAAAGAGATTTATTGACCAATCTAACAATATCTTACGTGTCTATTAAAGAAAATCTCGACATAAATAACATTCTCAGAGTTAATTATTATAAACTTGGTATTATCCTTGATATCGATTGTCCGCAAAGTGAAATCATTCTGGAACAGGTTGGTTATTCTAATTAAACATTTCGATAAACATTGGTAAGTAAAAACCTTGAAAAATGACTAATCAAATTTCTACAAATCGATATTTGCAATATTTTTTAATAAATCTATAAATATTTCTCAATAAAATAACCCCACAAACACATAATTTTTATAGATGAATGTTTAACAATTTCTCTTGTTTTATTTAAATATAAAACAATGATGTGTTTTTGAATATACTTTAATACTTAAATATCGCGGTCTGAAATTTGAAAATAATTTTGTAAATCTATTTCGAACTTAACTGAAGGAGGGGAGAGAGTTAATTTATCAGATGTAAAATATAAAACTTTTCCTACTACTTATTGTAAATACAAAACGTAATATTTTAATTATTGTTTGCAGTTTAATGGAAATCAGTTGCCTTACAACGAATCTTATTTTTGGCTTATGATAACTGAATCGAATTCAGTTCCAATAAATTTATTCCGAGATCTACCACTTTCCATAGCAACTGAAATTACAGTGGCATTACGCGAAAACAATAGTTATACTCTTTACGATGTTTACAATTTTAGTCATCGACATGGAGGTAAGCTCAATGTTACTTACATGGGTTACTGGACTTTCAACGATGGATTGAGGAACGAATTAACTCAATACAAGTACAAGCGTCGTCAAAATTTTCATAAACTCGCCTTGAACGTTTCTATTCACGTGAGTTCAAAATAATTTAATGGGAGGACAAATTTTATTAAAACAGTATTGTAATAATTACATTGTTTATAATTAATTATGTTTGTGAGATTTTTGTTTTAGGTTGATCACGATCCTTTACCTGATTTTCACACGTATATTTTAAATCCGATTAATCGTCACGTAGATACAATGATGCGTTATAATTATGCTTTGATTGTACAATTAATGGATTATTATAATATAACGTAAATTTTCATAATAAAATATTGAATATTATTTAAATTAATTAGATGAAAATTATTCGACCATATTTCAGTTGGCTATCTTTTGTTATTTCTTTGAACAGTATGAATCTAAGCAGGGGAACAACCTGGGGATATCTTAACAATGGCACCTGGAATGGTATTATCGGGGACATGCTTCGTGGAATAGTAGATATAAGTGCTACTCCTTATTTATTTAAAGCAGCAAGGATGGATGTATGCGATTACACGGTGCAGTCTTACATAGCAAGGTAACACAACTATTGGTAGTATAAAACTATTAATAATAATAATAACAGAATGTTTCATAATTTATATTTAAATTAATAACACTAGTTTTTCTTATTGAAAATATTTGGTATCTTATAGTTAAATAAATAATACTACATAGTTTGTTTTTATTTAAAAAATTGTTTAATATTTTATATCTAAATCAGTATAATACTTTTACATAGAATTTTATTTAAATAAAAATCAATTTTAGATCTAAGAATCGGTTTTTACACAGTAACCATTTTATATCTAACAAAAAATCAATAACATACTTTATAGAATATTAAAATAATAATAATAATAATAATACACGCAGGGCGAGCATAATTTTTCGTCATCCAAAAACTAGCGACGTACGTAACGTGTTTCTTATGCCATTTACGGAAGACGTTTGGTATTTGATCCTAATCGTAGCAGTCATTTATTGGTTATTATTATTACTTACGGTTAAAATTGAATTGTATTACGATAATTATCCAAAAAAGTGTACTTTGGATACTAATCCTGCTTCGGAAACTGCTTTGATAACAATCGCTGCTATTTGCCAACAAGGTTTTGTAAATATTTATTACAATTTCATATCATTTTGATTATGTAAAAGCCTCACTATTATTCCGATCTTAATCCCGCCACACAATAAATAAGTAATACACTATAATAATCTGTGGGGCCAAATTTTTCTAATATATTTCACAGATTTATTTAAATTTATTATTTCAAATCAACCTAACTAAATATAATATTAAGTATCTGTTTTTATGCTTACACGTGGAACTGTTCGATCGAATCAAATGAATGATATGTATTTTATGAGGTTAAACTTGTGATTAAAAATTTCATTTTGATTATCTTCGTACATAGGTTTGAGCGATGGTCCACGAATTTATTCTGGACGCATAGTATTTCTTTCATTGTTTCTTTGGGGATTACTTCTTATTCAATTTTATTCGGCCAGCGTGGTGGGCTCGTTGTTGTCGGAACCACCAAGGTTTATAAATACTCTGAAGGATTTAGCTGATAGTAGCCTTGACGTTGGAATTGAGGACATGGCTTATAATTACGATGTTTTGGCCGTAAGTATTATTTTTATTTTCGATATGTTTTTACTTGGATTATTCGACTGTACTTATTATGGTTCAAACTTTGAATCAGGAAGAGTCAGTTCCGAATAACTTCTATTTGCATATTGTAAGATCAAAGTCATCATTTTGAGTAATTATAAAAATTGAGTCATCATTAATTTTTACTCATGACGATGATTGTTATAAATATTGCCAAGGTAAAAGTCAAGGTCTTCTGGACTGCGTTCCTTATTAAAAGTTTCCACTAACAAATTGAACTCCTGAATTATTCTCATATTGGGTATATAGAAATCACCGAATCCGGACGTACACGAGCTCAATCGGAAAAAAATACAGACCAGCAAAAAACGAAAGGTCGAGCCTTTCTTGACTGCTGAGGAAGGTCTGAAAAAAGTGAAAAAAGGTGGCTATGCTTTTCAGGTTGACGTTGCTACAGCTTACAAAATAATCGCGGTTGGTAATCGATAAATAATTTTCACGATAATAAATTTAACAATAAGATACGTTTTATTCGTTTTATTTAATTTTTCTTTGATAGGACACTTTTTCGCAAGACGAAATTTGTGATTTAGCAGAAATCCAACTGTTTCCACTTGAACGCATCGCGACTGCTGTTAAAAAACATTCGCCCTTTAAGAAGATGGTTACTTACGGGTTAGTGATCAAGTCATCAAATTTTTCATTAAATTATTTATTTAATTTTAATTAACTAAAATATGGTGGAACCCCTTCTCTCAGAATTTAGCGTTTAAAATACTCTGTAAATGAAAAAATGGTAAAAGTGCAACGAAAATTGCTAGGATCGTGTTAGAAAAAAATTCATTTATCCGAACAGTTATGTTTCGTAATTAATTACGATGCTGGAGATTCTACTGTACTAATTATTTTCTAACATTAATTTATTATCCTGTGATATATTATGCTATTTGAAATTTTCTAAAATATAATAATATTTGTTTCCTTTTTGTCAGGATTCTCTTAATAAGTTTTTAAAACAAATATATAAAAAGAAATCACTAATGCATTACTGTTAACAATCGACTCTTGATTGTGTATAATTTGTAGAAGATATTATATTTTTATTACAGATTGAGGAAAATTGTTGAACACGGTGTGCCAGGACACTTGAGGTATGTGTGGCAACCAGGACGGCCTCAATGTCCTGAAAGTCACAGCGCAAAACCAGTTCCAGTTGCATTAAAAGAATTTAGTCCAGCTTTATTGTCTCTTTTCATGGGCGTAGTCTTGGCTCTTTTCGTAATGCTCATGGAAATGTATATGGAACGCCGTAAACGTCGAGGTCAAATGGAATCATCCTTGCAACCATCACCTTTGGAAGTAGCATCAAATTTGTGCTTTTCTGATTTAGATCAATTTGATTTTCATACCGTTGAACCGGAGGATGTATCCAATTAATTTTTTGTTCCTTTTATTGCAGTAGTTCGTGGGTTTGTAATAGCAACAATGTATCGTAAAAAATACATTAATCATAGAGCGATTAATTCAAATTATTGCTTAACGCTGTTTTAAAAATCACCAATATTTATGTTGCATAAACGATTTAGTTTTTTTTTGTTTAAGTGAATGTTTGCAATTTTTATTATTTTTTTTAATTTGAACGAATTCACATTTGAACAGTAATCGGAGTTAATTTTTCATATGAATTTAGAAAACAACGTCATTTTATTTATTTGTAATTTTAGTGATTTTTAAATAAATTCCGTTTTTAGGTTGTAACAAAAATGCTGACGGACTGACCACATATGGAATTTCGGTTTTTTCACAGACATCGATCTTGTAATTACGTACAATCGTTATCAATCCCATTTTTGTTTGAACAACAGCAAATCTCTCTCCTACGAAATGATCAAAAAATTATATTAATCATCTAATAAGAATGATTGGGTGTGTGTGTGGGAATTAGACCAGGGCTTCTCAGAGTATTATTAACGACTTTATATGAAGTCGTAGACATTTGAGTGAAAAATTCCTGGAAGAGTAACGATCGAAGATTCATTAAAAATCGATTAAGCAACGTTACGCGTATAGTATATGTTTGTAAACTTATTATAGTAAAAGAGAATACGGGAAAAAGTCTATAACTTAAAGTCGCAACAATATTTGTTCGGGTAAAAGAATCGTCCGTAAGTGTAAAATTATGAGAAGTCCTGAGTTAAAGAATAATTTGAATTATTTTACCAATACAGTTCCGTGGTCCTCTACCAAAAGGTAAATACGTTGTTTCGTTGATTAAATTATCTTCCATCAAAAATCGTTCCGGATCGAAAACATCTGGATTCGGATAAATTTCTGGATTGTGGTGGATGGCGACAATCGGTATTAAAATTTTCTGACTTTTGGGTATAGTAAGTGTAGTTCCTTCGAACGTGTAAGATGGTGCCAGACATTCTCTGAACAATATCATTCCTGGTGGATATTTCCTTAACGTTTCTGGACACAAAATTAGACAGGTGAATTCATCTGTTAAAAATAATGATTCATTTTATTTCCTATAAGCACCTTGAAACACTGCATTTAAGTAGCCCATCGTTTTGATTGATTCGTACTTCAGGGTTCCATTATTTTTCTCAAATTCTTCTTGAATTTCTTTACGAAGTCTGTTTTGTATTTCATGATTTTGTGCTAGCTCGTAAAGTGTATTAGTCATTGTCGTGGAAGATGTTTCAAAACCGGCAGCAAAAAATACGAACGCTTGAGCGGCACATAACGTATCCGTTAATTCTGCAATATTTATACGAAATAATTAAAAACAATATTTTAATATTTCTAATATTTCTAAAAATTGTATCAAATCTTACCGATATCATCTCCAAGCTTTTTTGGATTTTCTTTCAATTCCTTCAGTATGTTTATGAAATCGTGCCTAACGATGTTATTTTTAATTCTGTGTTCCATCGTTTCTTTGACAATATTAACGAAGAAAGAAGTTTGATGAGTATTGTGGAACAAAAATCCAAGCTCGTTGTATAATTTCGGAAAACTTTCTCGTAGACGGAACTTTAAAATGTTTCCTAAATTTATCTTGAATATTTCTCTACCCATTCGACGAAATTCGCTATCCTCGTCCGTAAGTGCGTTCATTTCGATACCGAACGCACAATTACCGATCACGTCGGTAGTAAATTTAGCCGTCAATTCACGAATTTCAAGGAAATCCTTCTCAAGCATCTTGTTCAAATATTGTTCCAAATGTTGTGAACATTCTATTATCAGAGGGAACATTTCTTTTAATTTTCCAGAAGTAAATGCAGGTGAAAGTTTGTTCCTTAATGGTCTCCATTTTGCTGCATCGAGAAATACAAGATGTTGGGAAAGTGGTTCTACCTTAAAAAAAATATATTTTATATTAATCGACAATAAGATTTACTAAACGGTGAACAATAATTTATTCGGTTGATTGGATAGTTTATTTAAAAAGAAATTCAATACCTGAAGCAATTGGTTATATACAAATGTCATACCTTTTCTGTAACAGCAGTACCACGTTGAGGGAAACTGGAAAAGTCCTTGATCATGATATCTTTTAACAATTGTGGATCAGTTAAGATGAGTATCGGTGTAGTTCTGAAGAAAACACCTATGTACGGCTCGTTCTTATATTTACTGCATAGTTCAATTAAAAATTCTGGCAGAGTTTTTCGTTGAAGTATTAAATCTTTGATATTTCCAAATAGAGCGATTGGTTTCGGCCCTTTAACTCCACGATTTTTCCAGAAGTTAAATGTCGAGGTTAGATAATAATAAAAAAGAAAAACAATGACAACTACTCCGGCCAATATTTCAAATATTCCCGCCATTGGTGTAATAGCAGGTGCGTAACGATCGACTTCGATGTTAAAGCTTTATTTCTACGAAAGAAGATCATATTTACATTACTTAGAATGTGAGTTCGAAAGTAGGAAAGCTTAATGGTGTTAAGTCAATATACTCATATGTATACCGTAGTAAAAGATTGTAAAATATTTCACGTTTTAATAGCAATGAAAATTCTTTTCATTAACATGCAATTATTACGAAGATCACTCTCGTGTTACATAAAAGTCCATGGTCAACATAGATGACAGGTAAATGTTAACACGTATCATGCAAATATATTTAGATTTTATAATAAAATCGTTAAAAATGATTAAAAAATCATGAAGAAACGAAAAAATTAACTGTTAGTAATAAATTTGTTTAAAATGAAGCAATGAAAAGACTAAAACAGAATTACCTTGCTATTCGTGAAATTACACAGCACAATTTAGATTGTTGCGAATGATGCTATGAGTTATGCCTGCGAGTGGTATTTAATCACGTGACTTGACAATCACCCATCCGTTGATCTCTATGGACTACTGAGTCTGGAATGATGCTACACATTTTCCGTTTCATATTATTAAGTGAAAAAAAGAAAGAGAGGGAATAATTGTTTACTTGTATCAATCGTTATCAATCTTTATAATGATTATTTAAAGAGAAGACGAGAAAAAGGAGACGAGAGAGATTTTTGAATATTGTACTTTGATGTGAATCGCGATCAATCGATCAATCGATAATCCTTTTAATTTTTTTTGTACTTTGTCAAAAATAATATAAAATAATGATAATAATTATTAAAATAAAGAAATTCATTTTACAATTAAATCGAAATAAAACTGAAAAGTCAAAAAAGTAGATACGATAAAAAAGAAATTAAATATGTTTTTTTAATTACTTGATTTAAACGATTCAATCAAAATCAAAATGTAAAATTAAAAAGGAAAAACAATTGAAAAGAAATAAAATATAATAACATAAGATAATTTTGTTTTATTTCTTTATAAGAATATAAATATCAAAATAATTAAACAATATAAATAAATAAATATGAGTAATTGTGTAAATATGATAATAAGGAAAAAAGATAATTCGTATTATTTTTCGAAATGACTGATAGAAGATCAAGACAATTGATCCATGTGTGAAAGTGTTGTTAGATTATATCATTTTTTCCTTCCTTTTTTGTCATATTGAATAATCAGTTCGATCAAATTACATCATTTCCCAGTTTCATTAGAATTGCGATTTAATTTAAGAATAATATAACAAAATAGATTTTTTAGATGAGATCGTAATCCAAAAAGACAATTGGGTTATTTATATTTATAGACAAGTTCTTTTATTAATCTGAAACGAAATTAAACAAATATCGTAAGAATTTTATTATCGCGTATGACTTGCACTTTTCTTCTTTTTTCTTGCATCTATTATTTTTCCTGATTGTGAGAAATACAGATGAGTCACAAAATTAATTAACAGAATGTGCTTATCACGATCATATATGCTTATCATATGATAAAAACATGGTTTGTCATATTACTAGCGAAATATAAAAACGTTACGAACTGAATAATTTCCTCATTATTTTTAAGAACGTTAATTGCTGTTTATATATAAACATATGTGTGATTTGGTAATAGAATAAATCATTTAAAAGAGTATTCATTAAGTTTTCTTGGATCATTTGAATTGTAGTTGACGATTAGAAAGAAAATGTTTTTATCGACTATGTATGGTCGATAATATAGGTTGCATGAATGGAGATTGCAGCATTTAAGACGTTAAGAGATTTAAAATAAAAATGAAGTCATCGTTACTGGATAAATCGCTATGACTTTTGGATTGGTTTATGATCAATGGCGTCATTGATCATTTTGAATTTTTGTTATATTTTTGTTTCGATTTTGCTTCTTTACTATCATCTTATATTGTTCAATTACAAGCAAATGTATTGTTAACTGCAATACGAAAAAGATGAACAACGCTAGATTAGTGTGGTAAAACATTAGCATTGCTATACTACTTATTTATTTTTCCTTCACATTTGATTGCAAAAAATAAATTTAACCACTGAAATGTTAAGATCCTTCGACTATACTAAAAAAAATTCACTTTTTGTTTGAATAAGTGAACAATTGTTTCCAGATAATATAAAATCTTCAATTCGGATGTTCACGAATGTTTCGTGAACAGATTTTTGCTATTATTATTAAGATGTTACAAAATAAATTTAATATGGTATATAATAAAAATTCATTCTACAGTATGGAGGATTATTGTTATAATAAAACATATTTTTTTCTTTATTTATTTATATTACAAATTATTTAAATATATGAATAACAATGGAATAAATTATCGAAAAAATTGAATAAACAATAAAATCATTTCATTATTTATTATTAATTTTACTAACTTTTATGTATATTCCTCTTTTTGGATGCACCAAAAACGCCGATTGTCTTATCGGATATGGAATTTCGGTTTTATCACAAACATCAACCTTGTGATTTCTTAAAAATGATGCTAGTCCCACTTTCGATTGAACTATCGCAAATCTTTCACCTGCGTAATAACGAAACAAAAATTATAAATTAATTACGTGATACGCGAACGCTTTTGATTAAAATCAATTGTTTATATCAGAAATTTTGGCACCAATACAACTGCGAGGTCCTCTACCAAAAGGGAAATACGTCGAATCGTTAATTACAGAATTATTTCCATTCAAAAATCTGTCGGGATCGAAAACTAGAGGTTTCGGATGGATTTCCGGATTGTGATGCATTCCGTAAATCGGTATAAAAATTTTCTGATCTTTTTGTATTGTAAGATCAGTGCCAGCGAACGTGTAAGATGGTGCTACACATTTTCTAAATAAACCCCATACCGGTGAATGTTTCCTTAGTGTTTCTATAAAAAAAAAATGTAAAAATACATTCATTTAAGTTGTTTATTAAGAATGTAAAGACAAATAAATATAATACAATTTTGATGCAAAATCGAATATGCATATTTTATTATTTAAATGACTTGAATTATTTAATAATTAATCATCACTAATTAAATTGTTTTTTAACACAGAATAAATTAATAATAATTTACTTTACGTACCTTGGAAAACAGCGTGTAAATATTTCATCGTGCTTACCGACTCGTACAAAATTGTACCTTCATTTTTCTCAAATACTTCTTCAATTTCTTGACGAACTCTGTCTTGAATGTCTTTATTTTGAGCTAACTCGTAAAGAACATTGCTCATTGTCCAAGCAGACGATTCGAAACCAGCACCGAAAAATAAATATGCTTGTGCGGCACACAATGAGTCCGTTAATTCTAAAAAAAAAATACAATAAAATATTTGGAATATTTCATCCAATATTTTGCTAAAATAATACGAACAATTTAATGACAATTTTTTAAATCTTACCAACTTCTTCGCCAAGTTTGTGCGGTTGTTCTCTTAATTCCATGAGTATGTTTATGAAATCGTGTCTGATATATTTATGTTTTTTTCTATATTCCATAGTTTCCTTAACGATATTTAAAAAAAATTTAGTAAGGTGGGAATAATCAAAGAGGAAGCTCAGTTGATTGTATAATTTAGGAAAACTCGTACGTAAACCTTCTCTCAAATCTCTTTTTAAACCAGATCGAAATATTTCTCTACCCATTCTACGAAATTCACTGTTATCGTCAGCAAGTGCATTCATTTCTATGCCGAATGCGCAATTACCGATCACGTCTGTAGTAAATCTACCCATTAATTCGTAAATCTCGACGATATTGTCGTCAGGCATTTTTTCCAAATACTGTTCTAAATGGTTTGCGCATTCTTTTATCAATGGGAACATTTCCTTTAATTTGCCGGAAGTAAATGCAGGTGTTAGTTTATTTCTCAGTGGTTTCCATTTGTCTGCTTCTAGATGGAACAAATGCTGTGACAATGGTTCGACCTTTAAGAATAAAAAGAAATAGAACTTCAAAAAGAATGATCAAAAAATGGATCATTTAAGTTACTATGAGCAGGTATTTATTTCGTGTGAATAAGTCGACTTTTCGTGTAACCAAAATCATCTTAGTTAGCACCGGGACCAGCAGTGGGCGATAGTACTATAGTAGTGTGGTGACTCGCCTGCTTCACCCTAACTTCGGCATCAGATGTTAAGTGACCATGCTTCAATCATCGTTTCTCGCAAGCGGCAGAAATCAGCACAATTACTATATATAAACGCATTGGATTTTTTACCAATCCTACAGGACTCTTTTCTCCCTTTGACATTATAGATAAAGGTCGCTACAGTAGTAGTAACATTCTTTGATAGTATTTGTTATCGCTCTTTTTATATAGTATTGTGTTGTACTGTTCATCAGTATTATTTGTACCGTCATCGCGTTAAGTACATACTATCGCCTACTTGGGTGGTTCCCGGTAGCAATTAAAATTTATACTGGGTAGATACAAAAGGAGATTGATTTCAGAGCTTCTATGTACTTCTGTATTCTTTGCATAAACTTCGTTTTTTATTTTATCGATTAATAATAATAATAGAAAAAAAATTGCATACCTTTTCGGTCACGGATAAATGTCGTTGAGGGAAATAAGAAAAGTCTTTTATCAAGACGCTCTTTATTAATTGCGGGTCTTTTAAGACGAGTATCGGTGTACTTCGAATGAATATTCCGATGTACGGTTCGTTTTTATATGTTTTGCAAAGTTCTATGAGATACTCAGCCATAATTTTTTTACGTAACATAATATCCATGACATTGCCGAATAAAGGAAGTGGTCGAGGCCCTTTGACTCCACGAATTTTCCAGAAATTGAACGTCGTGTTCATGTAATAGTAAAAAAGTAGAACGAATGCAGCAACGATGCAAAATATTTCAAATATTACCGTCATGTTGCGATATATTTGACGATAACTTCGATATCTTTCAATTATTATACACGATATCCTTATTTCTGAAAAATAATATTAAAGATGATTAATTTTCTAATACCGTTTTTTATATATTAGATTTTTTTGATAAATAACGAGAGGAAAATATTGTGTCACCGAGAAAGTTCATGGCTTTTTTTTCAATACAGATAAATGATGTTGAAATCTTGAAACAGCACGAAAATTTTTCGGTTGCTCAATGTATCGAAATAATTACGTCGATCATGATTTTTATATTTTTTATAATTATGGATTACGAAACTTGAATTTATGTAATATATGGACGGTTTATTTTGAAAGTGGTGGAAGTCCATTTTAAAAAAAAAAAGAGATATTACGTAATTTATGGTTAATTTAGTGTAAACTTTTTATTTAGAATTTGTTAGTATTTAATTTCTTAAAAAATGCCAATGCTTTGTCTAATTTAAAATTGGACAGTAAAAGAAATTACTTAACCATTGATTATGAAAGTGGTGTAAGTGCAATTTTCATAGAAAAAAAATAAAAAAAAAATAAAAAAGAATTTCCTGTAAGCACAGTAAAAAACTAATTTTTTTTTTAACAGATTTAACACCTTGACTGCTCCGCGAGTTTTTGTGTACGGGTTTTTGTGACTGTGCGCACCATTATACTATGCACACTTCTATAAATTGAAACTTACTCT